CAAATCTTTGGACAGCCTTGGACTTGTGAAAAATGAATTTAGTAGTGAAGATGGATGGGGGGTTATTATATACTGCTCCAACCTTTCCTCGATCAGGTTTCTGTAAGACATGAAGGGGAAGTGGCAAAGGAGAGGCTGTACTCTGTAAACAGCATCTGTATCTTCTTTGGCCCAGTCCTCAAGGCTGGAGAAGTGTGATTTCATGGACTGTTTGCTGGCTCAGGTCACTCAGCACAGTGGTTAGGTAGGCAGATTCAGGGATACTGAAATAACTTTCTAAGTAATCAGAAGATACTGACTGGTCTAGAAATAATCTGGAAAGTCCTAAAGGCAGATTTTTTTTCTGTAGTTGTTTTCCTTACTTTCATTGCATGCTGTATTGTGCATTTTTAATAGCAAAAGCACCTAGTGGAAGTCTGAGGTGGTTCAGATAATACTCATAATACAAACTTTCTTTTGAGGAGCCACATTGAGTAAATTATGAGCTCTGGCTATTTTTATGGGTAGCAATGTATCTTTGTTTTTCTCTAATAAACCTTGCTAACTAGGCTTTAAATAGTTTCAAATGTCTGTGGAATAAACCAGATTTCCTCAGACCTGATTAAATTGGGAGATAAACTAAAGTTGTAAGTTTTTATTCTTATTTCATGCAAATGCACTCAAACTTGTTTTTTGACTGTATATTTACAATATACACCGAGTGTGTCACTACTTGTTCATTGAGGGTATTGCATGAGCAGAGAGGAATATTGCAAATTACTTCTATAGTTATATGTACAGAAGGTGGAGGTTTCTGTAAAATAGCCATGAGTTCTATTCCTTGTGGAGTTCAGCTGGAATACCTGCCTTTGGTTACAAACGTCTGCCAATAGTGCTTCTTAGGTGCATATGGTGTTTTCAGATGAAAGTTAATTTTTGGCAACTGTGGTTTACAGTTACCTTCCCAGAGTGCTTGAACTACACTAAAAATCAGGGAATCTGCATCCATGTACCTGACTTTTTACTGGAATTCTCTTCCAGTGCTTGAAAATTTCAGTTCAGGGATAGACCATTGCAGTTTTCCTGCAAACCAGGTCAGTGTGAAGCCCTGTCAGATGATGGCATATGGGAGAGCTCATGCAGAGGGGGAGGATGTTTGTTCTGAGCCAAATATAGGGAGTTTGAGGGTTCCTAACAGATCTCCATTACTGGTATTTAGGCCAGCAAATATCAGGAACTTGGTGATTGTAGACAGATTCTTGCAGTAAACAAAACAGTTAAGAAATAGAGCAGCATTTTCTTACTTTTTTTGCATGGGCCTGATGGTTCATTCAGCAGAAACTGGAGTACTTGTCTGAAGTGTCCACTTCACATTAGCTTTCATCAGAAAAGGTGCTCCAGTCATTTCTCTAATCAGCAGTGGCAGCAGTACTCTCTGAGTACCAGCAGGAAAACGTGCCTGGACCATGAAAGAGCAAGAGAGCAGCAGCACATTCCCTGCTCTGCCAGCTGGAAACGTCTGCTTGGTTTGCTGCAGAGTTGCTCCCTCTCCCATGGGTTGGGTGAGGGACCTGACCCTCCTGGAGCTGCCCCAGGCTGAGGGAACATGCACAAAGGGTGAAAAGAGAGGGTTTGGATTTAGGGTGTGTGTTGGTGTGCTTGCCTGTGTGCCAGCCCCTCCCTGGAGCAGTGCAATCCTGTGTGCCCAAGGTTTTGAAGGCCCATCCTCACTGTGAGATAAAACCATGCATTCAGGGTGCTCATATGATGTTACTGGCTGGCACTGGAAACCTCATGCCAGCCACACTGAGAATGGTTCTGCAACTTTTTTTAAGGGTGTTTCCTCCTCTTGATTCCTGTAATAAAATATACACAAGCTCTTGCTCTTAGCACTGTAACGATCAAGTAATGCCTAAAGGATGCTGCAATGTGTTTGACCCCCTGATTTTGAGCACGATCACCACTTGGGGTAGAAGTTATGTAGTTCATGCAATCTTGTGTCATATTAGTTTATTATTAGTTCTGGGTGTGGCTACCGTACAGAGGGAGAATAGGACTTCATAATTTTGTTAGCTCAAAGGATGGGGAAAGTAAAGTTTTCATCTTAAAGCTAAACCAGAGAAGGTGTAAGAGACAACTGGTGAAGAAAATGAATAACTGGTGAAGGAGTGAGAGATGAAATAAGAGGACTGAAGAACTTGTATCTTCAGTCATTTTTCCACCCTTCTGTGAATATAAGGCTTGTGTTGCTTTTATTGCTTTCTAACAGTGCTGTTGGAGGATTAGCCTTTCAGCTTTGGTTCAGTTTCTTAATTTTCTTTAAATTTGGTCAATTTTCAGCTGTTTCTGACTTCGTCTGTGGAGTGCCTAAGGTTTACAATATAGTGGTCTCAGGGCTATCTGTGGCTCAGTAAAGTTTTCAGGAGTGTACTTTGAAATAATCCTTAGTTTCTCACATTTCTTAATTTGGGGTTTAGCCTGCAGTTGCTATGAATATCTTTCTGATCTTTTTCAATTTGAATCTCCTTGGCACTGATTCTTTCCACCCTTGCTCCCCCTTTCCTTCTTTCATCATTCATTCGTGTGGTTTTCTCTTTTATATTTTCATTTCCAGTCAGGCATGCATTCTAAAGTTACTTTACCTCTGGAATAAGAAATCTCATTATGCTTATATGGGATATTATCCTGTTTCAATTCACTTCTATGTAACTTGTCCTAGACTTGCATGGTGTCTGATATCATGGCATAAGATTATTTCTTGCAGTGTTTAGCTTGTTGGGTATAAGGCTCATCTAGTCTCAAGCCATTATTCAATAAAGTACCTGTATTTTTTTTATGTCCATCTGCTTCTGCTGTAGCACATCAGAAGCAGACAGCTTTGTGGTAAACAATGATGTAGAACAGTAGCTGGAAAACACTCCTGGATATTCTTTACTGCTTCCTGCACCAGAATTTCAAGCTCTGCTAGGTCCTCAGAAGCGTGATGTTAATTTGACGTGCTCAGATTTGGGAGCCTCTGAGGCCTGAAAAAATATTTGTTCTTCCATACCTCAGATATGATTTTTGTTGGGTAATAATGTTGACCAGTAACATTGAATTAGTTGGGGAAAATGTAGCTTCTGCTCTGATGCTGGTGGGCAAAAAAGGGTTTATTTGTAAGCAGAATGATTCCCATTGCACGTCGTGCAGCAGAGCTTGAGCCCTCACTGCCTCCCCTGGAGTGTGGAGGGAAGCCTGCCCAGAGCCAGGGTGGGCTGGTGTGGGAGGAAGCCAGTGTGGTTGCTTACAGTGGGAAAGTTGGAAGGATTGGAATTGCAGTTTCCTAATTGGAAACACAAAGCCTGTGGGTTTTTCCTGTGGAATTCCATGCACACATGGAATTCCATGCAGCTGTAGTGGGCCCGTGCTGGTGGTGCCAAGGAGCTGCTGGGAACTGAGCCAAAGCTGCAGATGGACACCAGACACACCTTGGGGTAACTGCAGGAAAGTCCCTTTTTTCACAGAGGAAAGACAAACCTGGGCCATAGATTGGCACCATGGGGCTGGCTGGAATTGCTTTGGTGTTTGAAGAATTATTCTGCATTTTTAAACATGTGCCAGGGTGTTCAGCAGGTGGTTTTAAGACTGGAAGTGTGGTTTGCACTACAAGACTGTTGAAGGGGATATTCACCTGGCTGATGCCCATCACTGCACTAGGCTTATTCTTTTCATCACTTGGAAGTCATGAAAAAAGAGAGAGCTAATTACTATATTGGCAAAGTTTTCTTTTGTACTGTTCAGAAACTCGCACTCTACTATGTGATCATGATGTAAAAAATGTATATGTTACCAAGAACAAAACCCCTAAAACCTCAGTAAACCAATATTCAAGGAAACATGTTTTGTCTAACTGTCCTGACCAGTAATATCTACCACAAAAGCTAAATAATGAGCCCCAGTAGCGATGGGGTTTTGTGATCTGAAAACTCAGGCATTGGGACCAAGGCTGTGGGATAAATTTATATTTGCTTAGAAAATTTGGGTTAACTGGAGAATTTTCAAGTTCTGAAAACCGTTTCTAAAGTAAAATTTTGACAAGTCCTTTACAGTTCACTAAGCAGAACTCATGTCTGTTGGGGTTATATTGACAGAGATAAGCTTCCTTGTATTAAGTTATTTAAAATGCTCAAAACAGTTTTGCTTTAAGATGTCAATAAAGGCTATTTCCCACTTTGCTGGAAGGAAGTAGGGGAAAAACAATTTTGTTTTTAGAAGTATAGAATCACAAAATACTGAGTTGGAAGTAGTATTTTCCAATCTCTGCAGTGGCTTTCAGGATGTTGTCTCTTGGTTCTCTGAAGTTTATAGTTAATATTTGTATCCTAAGAATTCTCTATCTCTGTGAAAACGAAATTTCAAAAGCACACATGTAATGCTCATGTACATCTAAAGTACAGATCTGAATATTGCTGCATTTATGTTGTACCTAAATGTACACAGCACTCAGGGTGTTACAGGGCTCACATTTCTTGACGGCTGATAGCAAAATACAGAGGAAGAAAGAAAAGAGACCAGCTCAGCAAAGCACTTGAATAAATTGCTAGGTGAAAAGGGTGTGAAATGCTCTCAGGGCTTCAAGGCAATTAGTTTCCTGGCTGAAGTTACACACAGGGTTCATCAGTTTGGAGATAGCCCTAATGTCGTTACTATTGAAAAGTTTAAGCTTTTAACACAGCAACGAAAGTGTTTACTTCCAATGGTCCCTGTTTTCAGTGTAGTTACCAAATAATGCATGTCTCTGTGAAAGTTATCATAGCAATCTGATATTTTCAGTAGAGTGTCTTTTTGGACTGGCTCTGCTGTATAGATTTGTTCCACTGCTTTCAAATTTAGCAAAATGTTCTTCATATTTCTGTATAAAATGTCAGGTATTAATTTTGAAACCTGAAAGGTTTAGCAGTATTCCAGATTTCCACCTTACTTCACATTTTCACCTTCATTCTGAATATGTAGTCACTACATTTTTGACAATACATATTGCATTTCATTTTCCAAGCAGTGTTTTATTGGATTAAGTCAGATAGAAGGAATAGCTTCACATTTATCATGAGTGACTTGCACATTCAGTCAAACACTGTGTGATATTGAGTAGTTTAAATCTCCAGTGTATAAACTGTAAATTAACATTAAAGGCCTCTCTTAACATTCATTACTCTGTTTAAACAGTCATGCAGAATTACTAGTTGTCAGTAATTTTTTCTTGAATACAAATATGTAATTTGTTCTAACATTGCTGTAACTCTCTTGAGCTGTGTGTCATGAAGAGTATTATAAAATAAGGAAATGGTGAGTGTAATGGACAATTGAGACTCTTACTGCCATTTAGCAGAAGCTTCAGGTTTGCTTGCAGCTCATATTGCTAATTTTCCTAAAAGCCAATGATACTTCAGTTGCTGAGCATGATCCCAGATGATAAATACTCTTCCTGCTGGGACCACAGATTCATCTTCTCTGGTAGTCTTAGCATAAAAATCTGACCTGTGAAGATGTGAAGTATGATTTGTCTGTCATAAGGGATGACTTTCTTTACCAAGTAAGTACCCTTTAAGGCATAGGAGTAGAACAGTGTGAAAAGTATTTGTTGCAGACTTTTTTATAAATTGAGAATTTCAGAACTCTCCATTTATCATTGTACAAATGATAAATGTCCAGGTGAGAAACCTGGACATAGGCACAATAAATAAATCAGGAATTCCCCTGTACAGTATGCTGCAGGATACATCTAAGAACAAAACTATTGAAGAGCTTGTCATTACCAGTTCATGTCGCAGTTGTGAAAAACAGCTTTGCATCTTCATTATACTGTAGCACTTCATTGATTTCCAATGTAATCTAAGGACTGGAATCCATGCTTCCTGAGAAATTTAGTAAACCTGGTGAGAAGCCCTCAATACTTCCAAAGACTTAAGCCAGAAGCTGTCTTCTGAGGTCAGGATGGTGTTAGCACCTACCCCAAGAGCTTCTTGCTGTGTTACCACATCTTCACTCTGCTGCTTCTCTTTGTCTGCTTGCTTCTCCTTTCTCTGTTCTCTGCTGTATCCCAGTACTTGGCCATGAAACCTTCCCTCCTTACCTATTCTCCATCCCTTCTTGCAAGCTGCTGCACATCTTTTCCCAGCCCATGCAGCTAAACAAAGCAAAGCACAGAGCTGGAAATTCAGTAGTTCTTCCAAGAACTTATCATACCTGAATATTATTTGTTTTAAACCACATGGGGATTGAAGATCCTTGATTAGGGTTTAGGACAAAATAAAATGTCAGTTTAAGCTTCTGATCTTTTGAAACAGCACATACAACTCCACTGAGATCAAATTTATGGTTAAAATTTCTGTTCTGGAGTCACATATAACCAGAAATTAATTACACTGGAAAAGAATGACTAAAACTTGATTATATTTATATTTTAGATTTTACTTGTGGTGAAATTAAGACCTATTCATCTTTAGGACTATTTATAGAGACAGTTTGATTTTTATTCTTCCAGATCACAAATTTCTTCTTGCCCATTGTCTTTATATACTAAGAATGATCTTCCTTAGAAACTCCCGATGTTTTGACTTTCTTAGTAGGAACATCATCATGCATGGCTAGTTGAAACTTCTGTGAGGAAAGGCACATGCTCTAACAACAGAAGCCTGGCTCTATCCCTGGTTTGGCACTGCTTAGCTGCTGTGTGCCAAAGCTGGTCTGTACTAATGCTTGATAGTGCATGACAGCCAGCTTTATGTATGGCTGAGTGGTTGGTGGTTATCCATTGACTGTGTTTATGAAGAACAATGAACACTTTGATACCTCTCTCTAACCACCACAGTCCTCATTTCTAGTGTAACATGGAGTGCCCAACATGGGTAGACAGACAACTTTATCCTTGGAACAGGCAGTCAGAAGATATAACTGTATTGCAGAAATATTTAATTAGAAGCAACTCTTCTTAAAGAATAATAAAAGAGAAACATTTGAGTTCTTAAATCAAGGTATATGTTTAGAATGATCTTTCAAAACAAGAAAACCTTGCCCCCCGTTTAAGCTTTGTGTGTTAGCAAGCTGTAAAGACAAATGCCTTGTGGAATAACTGCTGATTTTAAGTAGTGGTTGTGCTCATTCAGTGCTGCCAGGAAAGGTGTTTGTTGCTAATTTCATACCACCTCCATGTCTCCTACTATCTGTGTTCAGTTTGTGGCAGCCTAGTGAAACCCTCTGTGGACCAGGCTATAAGGTGCATTTAGAAAGCAAATAATTGGCTGGATGGCAGGGAAAGTCTATATTGTGAGCATGAAGGAGCTTTAGCTATCAAGACTGAGGCACCGCAAAGCATGTTTTAAGCATTTTCAGATCACATAGTCCTTGGACAAGGAATCTTCTGCTTCTTCCTTATAAATGTAATATCTACTGAGCAGTTATGTGTGGATCTTGTCAGGACCAGCTGTAGAAAAGAGCTGTCATCATGTGACCATGAATGTTAAGAAGCTATTTCTCTCAACTTCAGCTTACTGAAAACTAAGCGATATTCAAAGGCCTGTGTACATGTGAGGGGCACAGGACAGGCAAGTGCTGAGACAAAACATTACTGTAATGGATTTACAGACAGTGGGCTGGTACTGCCCCATGTCTTTATATTAAAATCTCCTACAGTCATAAAACCTGTATATGGTTGTAGATATATGGATATGATAGGGAACTCCTTTCCTGGGAGAAGCAGGCATTTAGTTGCTGAAATCTAAATTTTTTTTTTATTTTTGGGCTTAGTATGTTTTTTTCTGACCTCTTGTTCACATAACAGAATCTTGTTTCTTTGTTTTAGTCTTCTTTCTTGTGCTGACCTCTTGTTCACATAACAGAATCTTGTTTCTTTGTTTTAGTCTTCTTTCTTGTGATTAACATTACACTGCTCATGCCAATGAATTCTTCTGGGGTTGAAGCTGGAGTTTGTATCCTCCTAATCCTAGATCTCCTTCCTGAATGTCTTCCTTGCCTGTAATGTGAATGGAGCCAGTGCTGTCCTGTGCTGGCACTGGTATGTGAGCAGATGATTCATAGTTTTCGGTCAACTCATCATTATTGATGATATAAACTGTGTCACCATCCTTCAGTGGATCCTGCATTCAAACAAAGAAAAAGATCTGTGGAAGAGGGACTCTTGAGGGAGACTTTTGTTCAAGCTTAAATGCGCAACAACTCTAATGCAATTTCACTTTTATTTCATCACTTGCTTATTTTCTTGGGTGTTCATTACTATCTTGTTGATTAAAGCCAGTAGTTGCTTACCATGTTTTGCTCCCAAGCAGTGTTGAGAAACATAACCTACCCTTTAGATGTTTTAGATAATTTCAGTGCTTAAATATTGCTCATGGGTAGCCAATACTTTCAGCATCTAGATGAATTATTTAGAATATATCACTTACATTTGAAGCTCGTAGTACTTAGTGGCTCTTCATGAAAATGTACCTTGTTGTCTTCTTCACAAGTGAAGAAATGATGTAATTCTTAGCATTAAAAGTAGAAAGTTTTAGAAAAGGGACTGTACTGAAGTGTTCAGTGTAAAGTGGCAGGTTTTGGCTGACACCTTGAACACGATTAACCAAGCTGGGTACTTACCCCATATGCACTGGGGCTGGTCAGAAGCCTGGCAATTGGGTTGCACCATTCAGGCAACGTTGATGTCAGAGGTGGCCCAGTGTGGGTTAAGAGAGGCTTTAGGTATCTGTGGGGTTTGTTAAAGGATCTTTGCAATAGAGATACTGGTGGAAACATGCTACACTATTACTAAGAATTTAATTTTAAAGCATAAGAAAATAATCTAATTAAATGGAATATAGAAAATACTGTCTCTTTACCTCCCACCCCCCCATTACTGCATACATTCACCTGTCATCAGTCTTGTCTAATGTTTTTCAGTAACAGAAAAAAAACACAACCTAAAAACTCCCCCCAAACCATTTGATGCTTCAAAACCTGTCTTGAAAGGGTGCCAGAATGGCTGAAGGGAATAACATAATGTGCTAGGAGCTGAAATACAGGAAATGTATATCAGATTGTCTCCTGATCAGATTGCATAAGAAATCACACTTGGAGCAAGACATAGCAAGATGTAAACAGGACAATTTAAGATGCCATTCTATCAGCTAATTTATAAGAATAGTAGTGAACATTTTCTTAAACACATATATTTAGCCTTTTAGAAAATCGATGCATTTCTTCAATAGACAAAGCACATTTTATCAAACATTAAATTCTTTTTTCACTGGAAGTGTATGTAAGTTGTTCTCTGTGATACTTTTCTTCAGCATTCAATGCATTTCTTTTCCTTCATACATCAACTCTTTATATAAAATGATGTAAGTTAGGAACAGGCTTTATGCTATTGTCTCACACCTGTCTTTCCAGTCTTTTCATCCAGAAGTGTTTTATTGAGATAAAAGGAAAAACCTGCTCATCTTGAGCAATTACATCATCTGTGTATCTGTCAATAACAACTCTCCCGTGACTCCTTCAAGCTGACTTATTTTCTCTGCCACTTTTACTAGCAAAGTAATTTTCAGTGTTCTTTGGGAAGCAGATCTGTCAGCTATTTTTACTGCTAGGCAGAATTTACTTTATTGATTTGTCGTCCCGTTTTCTCTCCCCTGCTCCTTTCTCTTGCTTTCTTGGTTGTGCCATCTTCCCCAATCTTTCTCCCTGACTCCTTAAACAAGAAAGGAACAAACATAACAGTAATGATTCAGGTTCTTCAGCAATATTGTGGAAATACTGACGAAAGAACCCCGAGTCTTGGGCCTATCCACACCAGTGCCCCATTTATTTCATTGTTGGCTGTTTATGGTATCACTGCTTTACACACAAAGTACAAATTCTTTATTGTGAAGAAGTGTAAAATATGCTTCTGATCACAGTTAAAAATTGAAAGACTAAATAACTTGCTGTGTCCTATATGTTACAGACATGGAAATTGTTCTGTAGCGGTGTTTGTATGCGCACATTTTGTATTTATTTTTACAAATTAAGCTGCATCTGTCAGAAGATTGGGTGATTTCCTCATCCAAGGTCATATACTGAGTTTGTGTGAAAAATTAATTGAGTCTACTTCAGAAAAGATGGTGAGATCTTAATATAAATTCTTATCAGAACCATGATCAAGGTGAGACTCTCATGAGATCTAATTGTGTATGGAAAGTTCAGATTTGTCTCCTTTCTGTTTGAGTAAAATCAAGCCAAACAATCTTTTCTGATCCATTACCAATTTTATCTGAAACCTCCAAACTGCCAGGCTGTTAAGAGCTATTATTAAAAAGCAAAGTATGAAAGCCATTAATTAGAGTTGCTCTGTTTTCAACACTTCAGAAAAACCTAATTAAAAGGCCAAAAATGGAAATACAAGACTAATTCTAGGTTTTTAATCTTTGGAAATATTTGCTTTGTTATTACAAACAACTTGAATTGTTTGAACTGAGTTGTCAGACTGAGCGTGAAAAATCCAAGCTTGTAAGGGAAGTTGCATTTGATTATACTGAGTTCTGTCTGCTCTGTTCTTTCATTCTCTTCCAGAATAAGTAATTGAAGATAAGTATTACTCTACCTTTCTTAATCCAGTGATGTCTGAGCTAGGCCTTACTTGTAAGCAGCCTTATGATTTCCTAATGGGCTTTTATCCCATTTTACTCTGTAAAAATGAGTCCTGTTTTTGCCCATGTTTGCACAGAGCCCTGACCACACAGAGTAGTAGGGGCTGTGTGCTGAAGCAGCCAATCTACCCAAACACCACAGTAATCTTCAGTCCCTTGAGCCACTACTGCTTTTAGCATAAACTTTTGTCTGGTGTGTTTAACTGGCTGGCAGTTATGTATGTGGATATTCTGAAGTTGAGTGATTACTCCATTTTGCAACAGGTTCTCTAAATCCCCTTCATTTTGCATTTTCTCTGACGCATTCATTGTATGTTGTCTGTGCTTCTGCTCTGAAGCCTCTGGAGATGCATTCTAAAGTGAATGCAATTTTCTTGTGCTTGTTGTGTTGATTCTGTAATAAATTATTTATCTTTGTTCCTTATTTAACTAGTTATCATTCAGCCCACTCAAGGAACTTAAATGGCACTGGCCTATTTTTCATTGTTTTAATAACCTATGCCATAAATGTTTCCTCTTTATTGTTGACACAGTTGCTTTATAGTATTACAGACATAATCGCATCATTTAGAGAAGCATAGAAGAGGAACAAAAATCTATGTGCAGTGCTGGAGTTTCAAAAGCATATCAGATGTGGATCCTATAGCATTTTAAGGCTGGCAAAAAGCCTTATCACACTCCAGCTACTCTGGTTGCATCTCCAGGGAGATGTAATTTAAATAGTTTAATAGAAAAAGGTAGATGTTGCACTAAGGCTGCTTTAAAAATTGGAAGAAACTAATTGCAAACCTCTTGGCGTAACTGTGAAATTACAGTCGGACCAAATTGATGCCTGCCCAACTCAGGAATGGGGAGAAGATAGCAGGGCAGCATTGCTTTGCACTTCAGCCCTCCCTGGGCAGGACAGCCCACCTGCACGTCTGCACCATGCAACAGCCTGTGTTAAAGAATGTTGTTAATATTGGAAAGGTGGCAACTTCTGAGTTGTGAAACTGGATTAAAGTTGCCAGTATAGGCAGATGGATAGAATTTTAATCCATATATAATGTAGGAGTGCTACCATGCCCTGCTTTTATAATCAAATACTCATTTTCCCATGGATCTCCTGGCTTCCCCTGTCAGTTCACACACTGTGGAAGATCAGACAGCTACAAGAGCTGAGCTGGGTAGTGCTGCAGACCTCCTGGCCTGGTATGGTGGAAGCTGTGGGACAGATAAACTCAAGGCAAGAACAAAAGTGAAGACATCATGTTTGGTCACTCTGACAAGAGAAGATGTAATGGGGACTTGATAACTGAAAAGGCTGTAGTGCAAAGGGATCCGAGTGGAAACTTTTGTACGGGTGTTAGAAAACTATGAATATTGGTGATTAGTGTAGTGAACTGGCTTTGCTTGCATGGCAGGGTCCGTGTAAAAATCACTACAACATACCCAGAAATGTTTACCCTGGTTTGCCTCATTGCTGTTTGACCATCCCTTTGCCCACACAGTTTCCATCTTGCCAGGCACAGTTCTCCCTTTCTGTCTCACTGACACCAGGCTCACTATCTGTTTCCTTGCTCCTGGTTCAGCTTCTGTCTATTTTGAGTTTGACTGATCTGATGTAGTCTTTGCTTGAAGAGCAATGTATTTAAAAATAATCTCACGAGGCTTTATCAGGAACCAAACCATGGAATTGTGATATATTTTTTTTATACATTGTCTGAAAAAAAGATTAGAGGGAGCTCTCCTCCTGGCTTTTGCAAGAGAGGATGCTGTACATGCTCTCATGTACCATGGAATTTGTAGAGGATGGGGAGTTACCGGTATAGGCTGGCTGAAAAATTGGGCAATGGTTACATTATATTAAATTGTTAGAATAACAGATGGGTGTTTGAAAAGTCCGTGAGATCTGCCGTGATTTAACATGTAAAGATAAATTAATCTGCACTGTGGAGAAAGCTGAGGAGAAATCACTAAATCTGTTATAAATTATATTTTAACTTCTAGTTGTTACTAGCAAATTCTGTTCTAGTTTTTTGTGAGTTTTTTAATCTTTTCAAGGAGCGGCTTAAAAAAAATTAAAAAGTCCTGCTACTGTTGTAACTTCAAATACTAAAAAACTGAGGATAAAGAAATAATACTGTAGCTGTGCAAAGTCAAATCATCAGGTCTCTTTTTAAAAAAGTTTCGCCCTGTCTTTGTCTTTCTCGTGTCTGAAAGAAGAGAGAGTAATGAAAATCAGTATTAGTAAAATCTGGTTCAGCATGTATTTACAGGAAAGTCTGACTTAAATTCCAGATCCAGATGTATTGTCAGACCTTAAGAATTAACTCTGTTTTTTTTTGCAGAATAGGGCTAAAAATTTGCTGCTTTAAACTTTCAAACTGGAAGCATTGCAGAGATGTGGGCAAAATGGAGGAAGTTGGTGGAACTGATCTTAGTCACATATTTTTATATATAAGAAGCTGCAGACTGGGAAGTGGTTTGTTCTCTTATATATGCTGAGTAAAATGTCTGGGGTGTTTGCAGACCAGAGTCTTAGTTGATAGCTCCTTGAGGCAGAGCAGAAAATTGAGACATCTTACTCAAGTTATTTGAAGTCTATTATATCCTGAATAGAACGCCTCCATGTAAGTAAAAATCAGAGACCTAAATGGAAACCTGCTTATATAATTGATGAGTGGTAATGCAGCTACTCTTGAAAATAGAAGGATAGGGAATGCAAAGTATGGAAGAATACTCCTGTAAGATTAAAAAAGAATATATGAAGAGACAAGTTAACATTAGAAAAAGGCTTGGAAGATGCAGACTATGTGAGGCAGATAAAGTGTAGAAGAAAAACCTTCCCTGCCATCAGTTGTGTAGTAACAAGAAAATGACTCTTCATCTGACAAAAAACCAGTAACTGTCCCTCAAAATAGCCTCCCAACCCTCCTCAAAAAAAACCTACTACCACCACCAAACAAATGAAAAATACCAAAAACTAACAACCAACTCAACAGCATTACCAGAGATGCATGAGTCAGCTACACACAGTGAGTAGGTAAGACTGTTGCACTACTCACATTGGTGCTCAGGATGTGCATGGGACTTTTCTGAA